GAATGTGGTCTCTAGGTAGTCAGGTTTTATAAATGTGGTCTCTAGGTAGTCAGGTTTTATAAATGTGATTCCCAGGTAGTCAGGTTATATAAATGTGGTTCCTAGGTAGCCAGGTTTTTATAAATGTGATTCCTAGGTGGTCTGATTTTATACATGTGGTCTCTAAGTAGTCAGGTTTCATAAATGTGCTTTCTAGGTAGTCAGGTTTTTATAAATGTGGTTCCTAGGTAGTCAGGTTTTATAAATGTGGTTCCTAGGTAGTCAGGTTTTTATAAATGTGGTCTCTAGGTAGTCAGGTTTTCATAAATGTGGTCTCTATAAAGTAGTCAGGTTTTTTATAAATGTGCTTTCTAGGTAGTCAGGTTTTTATAAATGTGGTTCCTAGGTACACAGGTATCATAAATGTGGTCTCTAGGTAAACAGGTTTTATAATTGTGGTCTCTAGGTACACAGGTTTCATACATGTGGTCTCTAGGTGAACAGGTTTCATAAATGTGGTCTCTAGGTACACAGGTATCATAAATATGGTCCCTAGGTACACAGGTTTCATACATGTGGTCTCTAGGTACACAGGTTTCATACATGTGGTCTCTAGGTACACAGGTTTCATACATGTGGTCACTAGGTGAACAGGTTTCATACATGTGGTCTCTAGGTACACAGGTATCATAAATATGGTCTCTAGGTACACAGGTTTCATACATGTGGTCTCTAGGTAAACAGGTTTTATAATTGTGGTCTCTAGGTACACAGGTTTCATACATGTGGTCTCTAGGTGAACAGGTTTCATAAATGTGGTCTCTAGGTAGTCAGGTTTTATAAATGTGGTTCCTAGGTAGTCAGGTTTTATAAACGTGGTGCCTAGGTAGCCAGGTTTTATGAATTTGGTCTCTAGGTAGTCAGGTTTTATAAATGTGGTCTCTAGGTAGTCAGGTTTTATAAATGTGGTCTCTAGGTACACAGGTTTCATACATGTGGTCCCTTGGTAAACAGGTTTCATAAATGTGGTCTCTAGGTAGTCAGGTTTTATAAGCGTGGCTCCTAGGTAGTCAGGTTTTATAAACGTGGTCCCTAGGTAGCCAGGTTTTATAAATTTGGTCTCTAGGTACCGGTAGTCAGGTTTTTATATATGTGGTTCCTAGGTAGTCAGGTTTTC